AGAGAGATCTTAACAACTTCCTAACAGAATCACTTGATTAAGGAAGGGTGTGCCACCTCGAATCTAAAATTACAGAAACCCTAAATGAAAAATGCACTATAAAAGCCATAAGGAGACAGAGTGAAAGGTACGCTGAATTCTTCTTGTCTTATTCTAAGTTATTCATTCTTTTATTGAATTAAGTATTGGAGTGCCTTTGATCGAAACACTTCAATCTTGGACAATTTATTCATTTTGCAAAAGGGAAAAGCTTGGAGATTGAATTCAAAACCTGTTCATGTTAAAGGCAACCTTTATTCACTCTCGAGAAAGGTAAATTCATTTTTCGCCTCTTACAATATGTACGAGTATTTGTGTAGAATGGTCTCCTTCATTAATGTTGTAAGCAAATAACTTCTAATAAGGAATGTTAGTGAAATTTCAAAAGATATAGGGATGTTATTGAATATATGAATAATTATATGAAGTGTGGATAAAATTTACCCAAAAAAAAATTCTATAGTTTAACATCATTTGGTAGTATCAGGTGGTTTGTATAGCTAATGAAAAATCGTCATGTTGGACACGTTAGTTAGTTTTATATATATATATATATATATATATTTTTTTTTTTTTTATTTTTTTTTATTTTTTTTTATTTTTTTTTTGATAAAGTAATAAATGTCAACTTTTTGACAGTGTCAAACTAGTGTGTTAAAGTTGATTAAAAAAAAAAAAACTAGTGTGTTAAAAGTTTAAAGTTTAAAATCACATAAATTTATTTTGGATAAATTCCATTGACACCTCTCTTAATTTCTGACAATTTCACTGAACCCCTTGTTGTTCTTAGAATTAGACTTTACCCCTTTAAAAGTGACAACTTGCCACCAATTCACCCCTCAATTAACGTTGGTGGACAAACTAGGTTATTATGATGCGATCAAAATTTAATATGTGAAATACCCATTTTGTCCATTCAAGTAAACTATCCACTCTGTGTAATTAAAACATAGATCAATAGGTTGTGGGTATATACATAAAATATGCATTTATACATTTACGCAGAGAGAGAGAGAGAGAGATAGCACATGTTGGTTCAGATTGTCAACTAGACATGTTGTGGATCACCATTTCTTCATGCAGGTGTTAATTAATAATGGGGCAGAGATGGGAATCTGGTGGGAGCACGGAATCCTATATGAAAATGACAGTGATATTGAAATCATTGGGCGGAAAATCAGGGTCACGCTCGGTTTGTGTTCCAAAAATATTTTTTTGTTCTCAAAATTTTAAAAATATTTAAAATCTGTTTATTTAGTATTTTTTTTTCCTCTAAATTTTGGAAAAAAAAAAAGATTTGAATCAAAAAAACAGAAAACAAGTATAGCTTATTTTCAGAGATTTTTTTGAAAATTTTGAAAATAAGAAGAATAATTTTGGACTTTCATGAGTATATGTATAAATATAAATATATACGTATAAATATATAAAAATAATACCATACAATAACTTTAGTATACTTGAAATATTATTATTAAATAAAACAAATGATAGTGTAATTAAGATATATTTCCCAGAAACAGAATTCACGGGACCTACTATGGTACCAAAAATTACTTTTTTGATAACATATTTTTACTTTCTATTTAAAAAAAATGACATGAGTAAATTTTTTTTTCATTGGAAATCATCCTAATGCAAATTAATAGTAAAAAATCACTTCGACGCCGTATCCCCCATGTAGTCTTACCCTAACAAAAGGTGTCAATTGTTTTAGGATTAATTGCATTGAAGAGCTCCAATATTTCAATTATATCATTTTAATTCTTGTAATATTTAATATATTTTTATGTGATCTTTTAAGCAAATATCGTCCAGATTATTAACGATTTTTTATTATAAACTTAGATAATTCTTGATCAAATTTTTAATTAAATTTTAGTCAAATAACTACTCAAATTACACAGTTTTAATCATAAACTATCAAAATTTTGTTCAAGAGCTACCCATATTACTAGGGGCAGCCCAACATATGTGGGACCCTAGGCAAAAAATGTTAAATTAGGCCATATAAATATTTATTACAATACTATATATTGATAAATAATTTTCAAATAAATTAAATGTGTTATTTAATTTTTTTATTTTTTCGATTTGTGATTCAAAAATATTAATTGAATTTTTAAATTCGAGCTTTATACATTAAAATTTCTTTAACAAAAGTCGAATCTTTGACCAAATGTGATTGCCATAATTATCTATTGAAGATAAAGAGTAAGAGAATAAAAATTTAGATGAGCTAACAAAAAAAATGGAAAAAATATAAAAATTAAAATTTGTATGAGTTTGTTGGACTTGGAATATATGGAACATGTTTTAATATTGCAGAGAAGCAAAACGATGTTTTAATAAGAAAAATTTAGAAAGACAAATACGATTACAATTAGTTGCAGACAACGAGATACTCACACTGATTATAGTCTTTTTGTGCTCTTTAAAAAATGAGCAAAAATCTATCCTAAATTAGAAGTAAACTCAAATTTAATTTAAAAATATTAGTTGATAGACAATAAATTAGACAATTGATTTTGATAATAAGATAAAAAAATATATGATATTAAGTGTTTTCGGTATACCATAAACATTAGGTAAGTTAAAAAAAAAAAAATTCATATCAAACTTTAGGGACCTAAAAATATTTATAAGCAATTCTAAAAAATTTACAATAATACTACTCATATTTAGCCCGGGGACCTAATCTTAACACCTAATAAATTAGGTTATTCCATTGTTAATGGGTTCAATGTTAACTCCTACTACTAATTCAATGTTCAAAATGCATTACATTAAGTTCTCAAATTAAGTCTAATAATTAAATTTGGTAGCATTTAATACAATTTTTTTGGGGGCTCCAAAATTTGCTTCCCATTTGGAGTGCCCTAGGCAATGCTATTAATGGCTTAGTGCATGGACAGACACCTCATATTACATATTTTTTCANTCAATGTTAACTCCTACTACTAATTCAATGTTCAAAATGCATTACATTAAGTTCTCAAATTAAGTCTAATAATTAAATTTGGTAGCATTTAATACAATTTTTTTTGGGGGCTCCAAAATTTGCTTCCCATTTGGAGTGCCCTAGGCAATGCCATTAATGGCTTAGTGCATGGACAGACACCTCATATTACATATTTTTAGTAAAAAAATATTTANCAAAATTTGCTTCCCATTTGGAGTGCCCTAGGCAATGCTATTAATGGCTTAGTGCATGGACAGACACCTCATATTACATATTTTTTCAAATTATTTTTTATCTATATTTAGGTATCACTTGATAAGTTTATAATAAAAAATAGTTAGTAATTTAGATGTTGTCTCTTTGAGACCATATAAAAATACTAGTTATTGTCTGTGTCTGAAGACACATAGTAATAAACAATAATAAAAAATAAATATATTTGTATTCATATCCAAAATTAAAACACAAACATAGATGATAGATAAATGAATTTAAACATCAATTTTAGTTGTGGTAAGAGGTGGTAGGCGACAGTGGAGGTGGTAGGGGATGGTGATGGTTGTGGTCGGTGGCAATGACCGTGGTGGCGACGACTGTTGTGGCAGTAATGGTGGCGACTGCAACAATGGTGGTGATGGTGACGGCAAGGACGACGACGACGACGATGGTGGTGGCGACGGCGATGTTGACTNTGGCAGTAATGGTGGCGACTGCAGCAATGGTGGTGATGGTGACGGCAAGGACGACGACGACGGTGGTGGTGGCGACGGCGATGGTGATTGCGGCGACGGTTGTGGTGGTGATAGAGGTATTGGTGGGACGATTTCAAATATTATGTTTTTTTAAAGTACTTATGAGAAATAATTTTTAGAAGTACTTTTAAAAAGTCACTCCAAACATACTCTTTGAGACCTATTTTTTCATTTAAATTTAGAGTATTAATATTAACCGTTAGATTAATTTTAAAATAAAATTTAAAATGATCGGNTAAAGTACTTATGAGAAATAATTTTTAGAAGTACTTTTAAAAAGTCACTCCAAACACACTCTTTGAGACCTATTTTTTCATTTAAATTTAGAGTATTAATATTAACCGTTAGATTAACTTTAAAATAAAATTTAAAATGATCGGAACCACAAAAAATTAAAGTCATTTTGTTTATTTTTGAAATTTGAATTGTAAGTTATTTTATTATATAGATATTTAATACTTTAAAAATCAAAATGATACAATTGAAATATTAAAAATTAAAATAAAACATATTTTATATTTTGAGAATATTTAGTGCAATTAAGTTAAACTCGAAAAAGAGTTTGAGAGGACGACCGGAGCGAAATTCCGTCAGTAACCAACCCAAATCCAATAGGAAAATCCACCGGTGAGGCCTAGACTACAAAAACTTGTAGTCACACTCAAAAATCAACTCGAGTGATAGCCTAACCAATCGCACCGGACAGTTGCCAATAAAAATAGCAGGTCCCAGTAAATCGAACTCTTGAAACACTAGTACAGTGATATGTGACATCAATAGGACCCATATAAATAGTAAAAGTACTTCATACTTTCCTAATCATTTCCTTCTCTTACTTTCTATCCTTGGTCCTAAGGCTGGTGCTTTCTACGCTTCTCACTCATTCTTTCCCCCAACATTCCCGATCTCACCTCCGGCTCATTGTGACACCTCGTCGGCCACCCACCCGGCCATGTCTCTCCTCCCCACGGCAACACACTCCTACTCAGCTCTCTCTAGTGCATCACCTTGGCCTCCTCATCAAGGGTTGAGTTCTTGGAAAATGCAGTTACCAGAAGCTCCTCGGACACGACCTGCCAAGCATGGATTCTTTATGTCAGATCTGATTCATTGTTTTTTTTTTTTTAATATTCTTTTGGATGAGATTGATCACTTTCTTGTTTAGTGAAAAGTGTTTTAAAAAAAGAAGCTATTATTCTAGTCTAAATCTCTCTGTCTCTCTCTGTCTCTCTCTCAGTCATTCAACAATGGCCAAGAAAGAAATGGAAGTAATGAAGGGTCTAGACCTAAAGAGGTACATGGGAACGTGGTATGAGATAGCTTCATTACCCTCAAGGTTTCACCCCAAGGATGCGATAAACTCAAGGGCTACATACACTTTCAGCCCTGACGGCACTCTGCATGCTCTCAACGAGACTTGGAGTGATGGCAAGAGAGGCTCTATAGAAGGCACTGCATATGAAGCTAACACTTCTAGTGATGAGGCCAAATTCAGAGTCAAGTTCTATGTTCCTCCATTTTTGCCTATCTTTCCTGTTACAGCGGATTATTGGGTTTTATCTATTGATGGTGAGTATCAATATGCTTTGATTGGCCACCCCACCAGGAGGTACCTTCATGTAAGTCTCTGATTCCACTTCAAAGTGCATGTGTGTTTGGGAGACAGAAAATGTATGCATTTATGACTTTAGGATAGCACTAAGTTACTAAACAGAATGTTTTTATTTTTAGGATAAATTTTATAATTAATCCTTCAACTTTGATTTTGGTTTTAATTTGGTCCTTGAATTTTTAATTATCTGAATTTAATCCTTCAACTATCAACTTCGTCTAAATCATTTTGTCAATTTTTACTATTAGATCAAATGAAAACATGCGATCTAACGGTAGAAATTGATCAAATTGAAATAATCTTAATTTGATCTAACGGTAAAAAGTAAAACTACATGGAAAGATTTATTTAAGACAAAATTTANTTGATCTAACGGTAAAAAGTAAAACTACATGGAAAGATTTATTTAAGACAAAATTTATAGTTGAGTGACTAAATTGGGACAATTGAAAGTTCAAGGATCAAATTGAAACCGAAAGCAAAGTTTAGGACTAATTATAATTTTTGCCCTTATTTTTNTTTATTTAAGACAAAATTTATAGTTGAGTGACTAAATTGGGACAATTGAAAGTTCAAGGATCAAATTGAAACCGAAAGCAAAGTTTAGGACTAATTATAATTTTTGCCCTTATTTTTAAGGAAAAGTTACTATTTTTAATTGGTGAAATTATAATTGATTAAGATAATTCATAATTGATCATAAAATATTGTAATCGATCATAAATTACTTAAATCAATTGTTACTTTACGAGTTATAACTTAACATTTAAAAAACTAATTTTGATACTTGATGTGCCTTAGTTTTTTTTTTTTTATTATGGTTTGATCAAATCCTTGTTCCTGCATTATATGATTTGAACCAATTCTAAGATTTACATTTTTTTGGTTTGTGGTTCAACAAATAATGGAAAAAAGAAATAAAATTAGGGGAACTTTTGAACTTAAACAGAAAATAATTATACTGCCTTTCTCCCTGGGAAATTATCATACTTGTTAAGGAGAGGTCATCTATCTGGGTATTATACTCAATTATGAGAACAATGACAGATTTTTTGTCGTTTATAATTTTAGAGTAATACTATTTAGACTTAAAAATCTGTCACCCTCGTCCATTTATGTATTGGGTATCATTTTTTGTTATTAATTACTGGTTTTTGTTGTGTCTTGCTTCGTAATTATATCTTTATAATATTTGTTCTTAATTTTTTTATTTTTTGGTGCTCTATGTATTCAGATAGTGAGCAGACAGAACCAACTAGATGAGGAAATCTACAATCAGCTGGTTCAGAAAGCTAAAGATGAGGGCTATGATGTGAGCAAGCTTCAAAAAACACAACAGACTTTTCCTCCACCAGAGAGTGATGATGCCCCCAAGGACAACATAGGTTTTTGGTGGATTAAGGCCATCCTTGGAAAATAGCAAGCGGCAAATAAATATATTGCTAGACTTTAATCAAGATTCAGAAATAAAATGAGTAGCTGTACTAGTGTGTTGCATGTGAAATTGTTTTAGGAAGCACTTGATTTCTATCATCAAAACATAAATTCCACAATGCTAATGCAGTTTAGTTTCTCCTTGTTTTAAGAAACATTTGTACCACGAATAAGAGAAAAATCATTTGTCTTACATGATGATCTATGCATGATATGTTAAACCTCTATGCAAGCTGAAAATTACGAAAACTAAATATTATCCTATTAGATTTAAATCCGCATTTCCAAATATTCATCACATTCATTGGTCATAATGGCTGACTTGGTTACATTTTAAATTATGCATATATAAACCCATAGCAGGCCTATGTATTTTTACAGCATGCCATGGTTTTTCCTAAATTTAAATAAAAGGATATAAAAAAATAAGTTTAATTTTGTATGTGGAGGCTGTTGGATATATATGATTAAAAAAGCACTAATGTAATTCAACAGATTTTTAAGTGTTAAGAGTCATGACTGGTGAACACAACAACTGGATAAGAAAATTCAAAGAACTGCACATTACACAAGGCTCCAAAGAAAAAGAAATGAAAAGCCAGCAGACAAAGGAACCCATGATTGCAATTAGTTTATCTAATACGAAAAATAGAGAATACATCAGTAGACATATAAGCATGGCCAAACTGAAATTCACCTTCAAAAATAAAAATTCTCAAGCCTATAGTTACATCTCATTAGGCACAAGTAGGATATCCATCAAACATGAGTTGCATATATTAACCTACAGTCATTTGATGTCCAAGTGCTCTAGTTATTGAAAGGCCACCAAAATCATAACCCTTGAAGAGGAATACAAAAGAATTAAATACCATTATCACAATCATACAGATTAAAATTTAAGATTGAGAATAATATTTGTAAGAGGCAAAAAATTGAGATTACCTCCTACAGGAATTGAAATGATTATGAGATTTTGAACTTGATCTCCCAATCTTCCTCTTCCTGCAAAACCAACATACTGCCCAAGATCGAAGTGCTTCGATCGAAGACACTCCGATACTTAAGTCAGTAAAGATAATGAAACGAATGGAAGAAGACAAGGAGAGTTCAGCATCTCTTTCATCCTAGTCTCTTCTGCTTTTTATAGATCGTTCACCCCTTAGGGTTTTTATGAATTTAAGTTCAAGGTGACACACCTTCCTTCAATTCAGTTATTCAGTTTGGGAAGTTGCTGATATTTCTCAATTATTTCTCTTAATATCTTCAATTTCTCTGATTTGCTTATCTGATTGCCTAAGTTATAGGCGCATCTTTATCTTTCTGTTTATCTAAAAACGGCTTGGACATATCAGACGCCGACGAGCACATGTGATATTTGTCGAGCAGATTAAGGGATTTGGTTTGGCACAAATCGGTCTCTTTAATTACCTTGTTGAATACTTTAACCGATTCGGCTTGGCACAAGGCGAGCTCTTTCATTGCTTAACCGAACAGACTGATGAGTTCGATCATGAAGAGAACTGATCTTTTTCAGCTATCGCCGATCCTCTAATTAGCTCGGCTTGGTTAGAAAACTCTAGTAGAGGATCCTTCATCACATGTCTGGTCTTATCAACATCATGTGAGCACATTTAATGCTATGTCATGTGTAATCATGAGGTTTTACCCTTTCATTTGCCCCCAAAAAAAGTCTGACAGACGTCTTTTGGCTGTCAACCGTTTTCTTATAAATTCATCATTACTTGTACTTTGTAACATACCTTTTCGTTTTGGCGGCACATTCAGAGAATTTAAATGTTTGCCTTTTAAAATTCCTCTTTCTTTATAACCGTTTTCCTTCGTATTTTTGCTTTTCTGCTACCAGACTCTTAGATTCTTGTTCTTTTCTTTCTATGTTTTTCTTCCTCTTCACTTCATTTTCTTCATGGCTCCTCTTACCCCATTAGAAGTCCCTGCCTTCAAAGTCAAATACTATATTCCAGATGATGTCGAGGTTAAGGTTGCTGGGGGAGATGAACCATTGATTGGTACTAGGGAGAGAATCCCCTTCCCCATTTGGGCCATTATTGAGGGTGGAATCCATTTTCCCCTCGATCCTCTTCTTCTCTAGGTTCTTTCTGCCGCAAAACTCTGTCCCCTCCAATGCTGCCTTAATTTCTTTAGGATAGTCATGGGGGTGTCTACGTTAAACAAACTCTTAGGTCTGAGTCTTGGTCTATGGGATATCCTGTACTGCTAAATCATCAAAGCTGCTGGAGACAGCTACTATCTTTCGGTGAGGAAGAATGATCGCTATCTGGTCACCCATCTTCCAGATTCGAACAAAGGTCATAAAAATGACATTGTGTTCGTTTATGGAAATTAGGAGTATCCTGCTAAAGCCTCACCTTCTTATTGTTGCCCCTATGAAGAAGCACCAGGTATTTGAACCTTCTTTTTCCTCAAAAAAACTTGTTGTTCTCTCTTTTCTTGTATTGAATATATCGCTTGTGTAGGAGAGAAGGTGAAAGGCAAGATCCCCGAATCTTCTGTTAAGTTGGACCAGCTCCAGATGGTTTGGGATTTCAATGAGTCCTTGTTCTGTCATGCTACTCATACGCTACTCGGATACACACAAAACTATACTTCCTTTATTGCTGTGCCGAACCAACCTAATGCGACGCTTACAGCAGATCGGGAGGCAATACAATCTGCTCGAGAGAAGACACCCTGAGGAAAAAAGAGATCTCTAGCAGCCTCTGGACGAAGGTTTGTAAATAAGTTTTTAGACTTTTTGTCAACAGTTGAGCCGACTTTTCCCACTGAACTGACTCCACCTGCCTCAACTACTCCGATCTCTGTTCTTAACGAACAAACTGTCGAGGCCCTTCCCGAGGTGATTCTTTCCAATGACCCTGGCCTGCCTTTGGATGACCAAGCGGATTTGGCTCGAGTTGCTGAAACTTCTGTTCGTGTTAAGATGGATCCTCCAGAACCTGTCCACTCCCCTACTCAAGAAGATAATTCAATTTTTGAGCTCGCCAAAGACCTGGGCCCTAAAAGATGAAGGACTGCCTAGGCCGAAATGAGCTTTCCTGCTGAGCCTTCCAATCCTCCATTACGACCAATCCTTAGAGCAAAAAATAGGAAAATCACTGCCAAGGACTCTGCAATTGAAGATTTTTAATGTTGCAGTAGGGATTGCTCAAGGAGTGATTTTGCCTAGAGATCTGGCAATGAATGAAGTTCTCATTGACGATGAAGTGTCTCATTAGGCAATCAAGCATATAGTTTTGGTAAGTCTTGACTCTGACCTCTCTTAAGTTTTTTACCCTTGAAATTTTTCTAAGTCTTTTCTTTCTTCGCATCTTCAAGGATTTGCAAAAAGTCCATGAGGTCGGAGCTCGGATAGCTCAAAAAGATAAGGTAATGAAAGATACCATCCATGCCTGAGCTTCGGCTCTAGCCAAGAAGGAGAGTGTGGATGAGGAGTATGCCAAACTCTGCGAAAAAGTAAAGATTCAGCAGGCTCAAAATCAAAGCCTAATAGAAGAAAACCAGAAGCTTCAAGCAGAGGTCAAGGAGCTAAAGGAGTCCAAGCATGAAGTCAATGTGGAGCTCTCATAATCTCAACTCGAGTACTCCAACCTCCTTGAAGAATTTGAACAATTTAAGTCTAAGGCAACAGAGAAGGAGGATGCTGCATATAATGAAGGTATGAAAAAAGCGGAGAATGACTTGGGTCTGCAAATTCCTCAGCTTCAGGAGACATTTTTCAGCAAGGGCTGGCAGGCTGCCTTGACTGCTGCCGAAGTTACTTCTTCTTCTGAACTATTCTCTAAATATTCGGCTCCGAGCTCCTCTCATCCTCCTGCCCCTTCAGATACTTAGAAGATTTTTTTTGAACTTTCTAATGTACCTGCAATTTCTGATGTTTATAAGATCTTGTACCTTTTTATGTTTAAATGAAAATCAACTTTTATCGTTTCTCTTTCACTTCTTAGAACGTTTGAGCAAAAAATGATTTTCATATTTGGGAAAATTTCAAGTCTCTTTGAATTCTATACCCCTGCTCGGCCATTTTTCAAAGAGACTAGTTTCCCGACAGGAACCTTTTTATTTAGGAAATATTTCGAGTCTCTTTGAAATTTTGGCCCTTGCTCGGCCCTTTTTCAAAGAGCTCAATTTCTCAACAGGAACCTTTTTACACTTAGAAAATATTTCGAGTCTCTTTGAAATCTTAACCTATGCTTGACCCTTTTTCAAAGAGCTCCATTCCTCAACAGGAACCTTTTTACACTTGGAAAATAATTCGATTCTCTCTTGAAATCTTAACCTATGCTTGGCTCTTTTTCAAAGAGCTCGGTTCCTTAACAGGAACCTTTTTACACTTGAAAAATAATTCAAGTCTCTTTGAAATCTTGGCCTATGCTCGGCCTTTTTTCAAAGAGCTCGGTTCCTCAGTAAAGTTACTCAAAGTCTCCTTGAGATCTAAGAGTGTTTCTACTTAGCACCGACCCGTCAATTTGATTGAACGCAAACTCATCCCTAATTAGCTTACATCGTCATGTCTAGCTGAGGGCCTGGATTTGATCGGGTGGCTACGTCTGATTTAAGCTTTTAACTTCTATCAGGTTTTTTGGCCTCCCTGCCTTAGCAGTAGAACGTATATAATGCAAAGCAAGTGTAGAAAAAAAAATCTTTAAATTTTTATTGATAACTTTGACTTGGTACATTCACTGCTGGTATATCATCGCCTAAGGGGCATCCTTAAATTTTCAAAGGCACTTCGGAGTTCTATTAAAAATGTACTTTTTAGAATAGAACTTTATGAGGTTCGCAGTATTCCAGGGGTGCGATACCGCCTTATGATCCAAAGTCTCGAGTTCGTAATACCCGTTGCCCCCAACTTTAGCTATTTTGTGTGGACCTTCCTAGTTTGCTCCGAGCTTCCCATGGACTGGGTTCTTGGCTGATCTCAATATTCGTCTGAGAACTAGGTCA